CGGGGAGGGAGGGGAAAAATGAGGACCTAATGCTGGGGGTTTAAGTGGAGAGGAAATGTTTTGAGAATGATGAGGGCAATGAATGTACAAATGTGCTTGACACAATTGATGTATGTATGTATGGACTGTGATAAGAGTTGTATGAGCCTCTAATAAAACGAGTAAAAATTTTTTAAAAATAGGCAAGGCAATCTTGAAAAAGAAGAACAAAGCAGAAGGACGCACACATTCTAATTCCAAACACTCTCATACTAGTTTGAAGCTACAAAAATCAACAGTAGAGTGATCTGGTTAAAACATGAAGCACCTCCAGCTACCACATTGTTGTCACTGAACCTTCCTATTGAAATGTTCACCCTCGGTCGCTCTTCTCTCTTGAGCCTTACACATATCACACCTAAAATGCTAAGTACCTTACTAATCTCTTGTGCTTATTGTCTGATGCCCCTCGCTAGAATATTAGTTAAGTTAGGCTGGTGTTTTGCCTCTTTGTTCATGGCAGTATTCCCAGAGCTTGTCAAAGAGTATGGGCTCATTAAATGTTTATCAAATACATTAATTATTTAGTGCTAGGACTGATGACCAAAGAAGACATCTCCAGGGCTGGTTCTTCTTTCCGGGAGATCTGTTTTTGCACCATGAACTCAGAGCGACAATGTCTTTTCCCCAAGGAATATTTAACGTCAGAACACCTAGCAGGGTTGGGCTTCCTGAGAGCAGGCTTATTCCTTAAAAGTAACATAATTAATCATAACATAAAAGGACTTTTATTACATTTGCCAGACATTGTAATTGTAAGGTGAATGCATTAGCTTAATAAATCAATACAATAACTTCAGGGACTAAGTACTGCCATTATTTCCCAATCACATGTAAGTAATTTGATCAAGCCTATACTAACATTGTCAGAAAGAACCAAGATTTTCACTCAGCTCTCATATGCAAGTGATACTGTTTGTGGATTTGGCTTGTCTCTTGGTGGTGTGTCTTCAGGGAGGGATGGAAGCCTTTGAATTAAATTATGTTCTGGTACCACAATGCTTTCATTCAACAGAACTGAACCTCTATTTCCATTCAGGTCAACATCCCTCCTTACCAGCTCTGAAGAGTTCTCGTCCACACAGTAATACAGAAATAGACACCCCAGAGTGTCTCCGTGGTGAGCAGAACACACGAGATTGAGGCAAGACCACCAGCTAACTTTAGTCTGAGACGCACTGCAGGGAGATCACAGGCCCTTACCTTGGAGAAGGATGCAGGGAGGTCCTTGAGGTCTAGTTGCAGCATATTCCCGATGATGGGAAGAGGCATTGGACCAGGAGGGAGGCTTCCCTGGCGCTGACTGTTCCTCCATACCCAAAGAAAAATCAGGCAAGCGACACAAATCGTCAGGGTAAGAGTAGGCACTTCCAGGAGCACCATTTCGCCCGCTCGGCATCAGGAACTCTCAGGGTGGCCTGCCAGAGAATCTGGCGTATTATACTTGGGATGTGACCTGCAGTCCAAAGGTTGGTCTGGGGTTTTGGACTCTCTTTAGATTCAGCCAGTTCAGCTGGCTTTGGGTTTATTTGCTTTGCTGAAGCGTGGGATTCATACTTTCTACTTCTCCCTCAAAAAGCCTGCAACCTCATCCCTTTGATTTTATAAGTATTTCCACTGTTTCATTTCCCCCTCTGTCAACACTGGCCATTCATGAAATATGAAGGTGTCCTTTATCTCTCCTAAGGTTCCAAAGCTGTTCACAAGCTAGGAAAAAAGGGGCAGATCAAACTCCTGCAAGCTGAAAGTACGTCTCAGGAAAAGGGTTGTCGGGGTGTTCCTACTGAAGCATCACTTTGTCATGTCTCCCATCATTAAAAGACTCCTGTGGATTCCTGTTACTTATTATAGCAAATATTAAGACTCAATTTGACACAAGGGAGAAAGACTGGGCTTTCTACTGCTTTAGACAGTTACATTCTTGGAAATGCACAGGGCCAGGTCTCCCCCGTCCAGTGGGGTTTCCATGAAGTCAAACTTGACTCAACGGCAGTCATTTGGCACTAGTGTTCTTCATTAAATAGTTTCTAATTTTGTTATTTTTCTCCCATGTTAGAGTTAACCCACTGTATTTTCCACAGACGACTTATTGCCATCAAGCCAATTTGTCTAGTAGATTGAGTCCATGTGACTGATAGAACAACGGTCAGGATGCTTTGTATATAAAAGGGCAAGGGCAACAGACCAATGCTGTGTGACTTGCGGTGACTGGCTTCTTTCATTCGGCATAACTTGTCACGGTCCTCCCGCGCTCTAGGACGTATCAGAACTTCATGTTTCATGATCACTGAGTAATATTCTGCTATATTTTGTTTACCCACCCATCAGTTGATGGATATTTGATTTGTTTCCACTTTTTGGCTATTTTGAGTCTGCTACGAACATGTATGTCCGAGTCTTTTTTGTGAACCTGTTTCAATTCTTTTGGGCAGATATCTGGAAGCAGAGCTGCTAGGATATACGGTAATCCTATGTTTAATGTATATTACATCTATGTTGAGGGGCTACCAAAATGCTTACTTCAGTGCCTGCACCCGCAGTATATATGAGGGTCCTAATGCTCCATCCTCACTAACACTTGCTAGTGTCGATCTTTTAAAGACTTCCTAGTGAGTGTCACTAGAGTAAGGTGACCAGATTTAAAGGGGGACACCATTGACCGGGGGTGGGGGGGTGGGGGTTTGCTTAAAAATTTGGTCTATATGAACCAAATAGACTGTTCCCTAGCTTGTCGTGCATTCTTTCCAAAAATCAGGTTTTTAAAACGCCAAAAATTGGGACTGTCCCGCCAAAAGCGGGACGTCTGGTCACCTTACACTAGAGCCCTGGTGTCATAGTGGGTTACACACTGGGGGGCTAACCACAGGGTCAGCAGTTCAAACCCACCAGCTGCTCCCTGGGAGAAAGATGTGCTTTCTCCTGCCCTAAAGAGTTACAGTCTCAGAAACACCCACAAGGGCAGGTCTACGGTCCTTCAGGGTCACTCTGGGTCAGAATTGACTCAGTGTCAGTGAGCGAGTGTCAAGTAATATCACATTATGGTTTTGATTGGCCTTACCCAACAATGAGTAAGTTGAATATCTTTTATGGCCTTATTACCTATTTGTATATCGTCTTCGGAGACATATCTATTCAAATTATTTATTCATTTTTAAATTGGTGATTTATTGCCTTATCTTGTTGTTATTCCCTGACCCTCAACATTCTCATACATCAATTTTATCTCCTGTTTTAATTATTAAAAGATCATTTTAATGGGGGCTCTCGCAGCTATTATAACCATCCATACATCAATTGTGTCAAGCATATTTGTACACATGTTACCATCATTATTTTGTAAGCATTTCCTTTCTATTTCAGCTCTTGGTATCAGCTCTTTTTCCCTCCTTTGAAAACACACTCTACATTCCATTTCTTCCATTTAGGTAGTCGTATCACATCTGCAAGGGAGCCCTGGGGTCTGCTGGTTTACGAGTTGGGCGGTTCAAAACGACCAGGTGCTCTTTGGGAAAAACAGGAGACTTTCTGCTCCTGCAAAGACTTACAGACTCGGAATCCCAACGAGGCAGTTCTACCCTCTCCTGTCGGGTCTCCAGGAGTCAGATGAAGCTCCATAGCACCGAGCTTGGTTTGGCTTATTTCATCTCACCTGGAAAAGAGCCCCGGTGGTGCAGTGGCTTCCAAGCTGGGCTGCTAACCACACAGTCAGCAGTTTGAATCCGCCAGCCACTCCTCAGGAGAAAGATAGGCTTTCTGATTCCACAGATGCAGCCTTGGAGACCCAAAGAGGCAGTTCTACCCTGTGCTATCGGGTCTCGCTAGTCACGGAATCAGAACCCACTGGACGGCAGTGGGTTTTGGTTTGGGGATCGCATGTGGAAATCCTTGCTCAAGGTCTTCCTTCCCTTGAGACAGTGGTCAGTCTTGCTCCCTGCTGTCGAGGTCACTGCATACGTGTTCCTTTCCTGGCACCACCAGGCACCCACGAAGTATCTGTTGAATCTACGTGGATTTGATGTTCACATTGTTTCTCCTTTTGTCAGAAGGGTGACGTTATCCATTTAAAATGGTTTTTTGGGGTTTCTTTTTTGCAGTCCCCTCTCTATCGCTGTATGAACTTCAAAATTCTCCCTGGCTTCATACGTAACCCATAAATCTGGTTGTGTAACGGTGCTGACCCAGGGGTGATCAGGACATGAGACACGAGGGTGAAGTTGAGAGAGTGGGAAGTCCAAAGGTTCAGGGTGCTGAGTTCAGTAACTTCATGGCAGAAAGACACCGTTTGTTCCCACGGCGCCCCAGCAGGAGTGGTCTCAGGACTGGAGGGGGTCGTTTCCACAGTGATCTAAAGCAAACAGTTAAAATAAATAAAGTTTAAAAATAAACAAATAAATAAAGCAAAAGGTTGTCCCTAATGAGGACAACCCCAGGGACTTTACTATTGGGCTCTTCTGAATTTAAAATCCCAGACTTTGTTCGAGGTGGCAGCTCAGAGAAGTGGCACAAAGATCAAGTCCTGAAAGTAGGACAGGTGAACAATGATTTGCTAATCAGACAACATGTACCTGTGTGCGTGTGCACCTGTGCATGAAGCTATAACCTTTGGCCTATGGTGATACACCCAGTGGGTGATTTAAAGCAGCTCATTTTAGTCCCTCAAGGTTCTAGAAGTTCTCCAAGAGACCCCTCTTCCCTGGAGTCCACTCTGCCTCATGGAGGGCGGAGAAGACCTGCTCCTCCAGGTTTCAGAGATCTTCATGAGAGCAGGCTGCCTCCCCTTTCCACTGAGGAGTGGCTCAGGGTTTGAAACTGCCTATCACTTGAGACCCCCAAATACCACAGTGGGTGTACGCCCTCGGGAACTTCACCCAAGGCAAGACATTGAAAAGACTGTTGACTACATGCCTAAAAAAAAATGGAATATAATCATTCATTGTTCAAATCAGTGAAAGATTCAAGCTACTTAAATCTACAAACAAGGGGGCTTCAAAAAGTTCTTGGAAATTTTATCCTTTAATTCCACCTCTCCAATGCAAATGAAAACAACTACTAGATACCACCTAACACCCTCAAAGACAGCCCAATACAAAAACTCAGAAAACAACATGTGTGGGAGGGGCTGTGGTGAGATAGGAACTCTCTCATCCATTGCTAGTGTACTTGTAGGTATGTACACCCACGATGGAAATCAATTTGGTGATATCTAAAACAGATGGAAATTGAGCTACCTACCATCCCACCCAGCTATCCCCCTACTGGGCATATACCCAGAAGAGGCAAGAAACAACCTATGGCCAGACATCTGTGCTCCAATGTTCACTACAGCACAGTTCAGAATAGTGAGGACGTGGAAACAACCCAAATTTCCATCAACAGAGGAATGCATTAACAAACTGACAAACGCATGAAGCACATTGCCACATGGGAAGAACTGGAGGAAATTATGCTAAGAGAAGTAAGCCAAGCATAAAAGAATAATTGCAACGTGAGTCCACTGAGATAAGCTTTAAAATGCAAAAGAGGCATAGGGAAAAAGCTACTTATACATACATTTCTGGGGTGAGGTCCAGGTAGTATGGCAGGGGCCAGACCAAATCTAGGGATACATATGGTAGCCAACTAAAAAGAAGGGTTGGGGAGAAAGGCATGGGTAGCAGGGAATAGGACACTAAACCACCCAAGGGGAGGGTGTTGTTTATATCTCCACAGGGAAAGTGGGACCAGACTTGAACCCAGTGTTCCAAGACATGAATTTAACATACCAGCACGACACAGAGAATCAATAGAGACATCAGAGGGCCGGCCCCAAACCCAACTACACGGATAGCTCCTCACCCACCCCCGAAGAATTCACTTCAGAGGACAGCACTGAAACTACAGCTCAGGGAGAGGGGCGAGTCTGATCAGAGTACACAGGAGCAAATGAAAGGGGGAGGGAGAGAGAGTGGAGCACATCGTGGCCCACCAAGCCCTAAGGACGATATTCCTGCTCAGAGCAGCCAATGCACAGAGAGGACCACAGGGTCAGCCCCACTAAGAGACACAACCTCCCTCACTGACCAATAGTTGTATGGGGGACAACACTGGAGACACAGTGCAGGAATTGTGCCCGATCTGACCCCACTACACCAAGTTGAAACACTAAGGGAGTGCAACACAACAGCATGGGGAGCAGAGTAATGAAGCTGTAAGGGAGTACCAAAAAAAGGCTTTGGGGCCAGGGCATGGCACCCCATCAGACTCAACCAGAAAACACTCCTAAAGGTCAATAAACAGGCTTGAACTATTTACAGGCTTTTCTTTTTTTGCCATTGGTTTTTTGTCTTATTTTGTTTATTTTCTTTGCTTTGTTTTACTCTGTCTTGTTTTTGTGCATATTATTATCTGTGGTCTATCTAGATAAAATAGGTGGAT